TATATGTACTAGATCCTGAATCGACAAAAAAAAAATTTCATCACACTTCCCATAAAACTTTTATTCCTTACAGGGGCTGTAAGTAAGTTTCATTTTTAGCTTTTGAAATCAGCGCGCTTTATTTATTGAAGCTCTTTTAGAAGGTTTTACTGCAGGATATTATTGATTAAAAAATTTTAGACTTTTTTTGACAGCTCTTATCTGCAGCTCTCAAGAAAAACCAAAAATTCATATAAAATGACTCGAAAGAGTCAGAAAAGAAGTTTTCTTCTATAAAACCTTCTTGAATCAGTATGCAGCTCTTGAGAAGAAAATGCTCGTATATTTATTCCAACAAGAAAATTTACAAGAATTGCAATTAATTTTCCTAGTAACAAAAATAATGAAAAATATTGCTAGTTATTTTTCTTTACAATATTACATTTTATTTATTATGAGTTAATACAAAATTAAATCACTCCTAATTTTTGGAGATTTTTCTGAGATTCTACGAGGGAATTTTCTTTGCATTTTCGGAATTATTCCTAACTAATGGTTGCTATATTTTCACACGCTAACTATTTTTTACCAAAAACTTTGTTAAAATAAAAAAAAAGAAAGTGAAATCAAAAAATTAAGTCAAAAGTAAAAAAAAATAATTTTGATCAAACCAGGAGATTGCTTAAAAAAACAATAATATTTTTATTGATTGGCATATGATTTCCAACATGCTTGCAAAAAATTCTTTACCCTTGACGACCGTTGGGTATCTATAAATGAGTTTTAATTTTTGTTTTTATCGGAAAATTTTGAATGAAGATGCTTATAAATATTTATTTTGAGGAAAAAATGCATCTTAGTTAAAAAAACTACAACGCCGGAAAAAAATATTGGCACAGAGCATTTTTCACAATATATGCAACAACTTTTATTAAATTTTTTTTTCTGCTAATTTTATATAAATATAATATATAAATATAAATATATATAAATATTATATGTTATTTCTAAACTTTGTGCAAAATTCAGGAAAATTCAATAAACTTTTGAATATGCAGTTTTGTAGCCCACTAAATTCTAGTATGCAAAATGCCAGTTTGAAGTTAGTCGCGTTGATATTTGAGATTTTTTTTGTTAAAAGCGTTTGCATTTTTTCCATACAAAGTGTTTTCGAAATTTTGTTTGTACGGAAGAAACTGCGTAAAAAAAAATTTCCAAAAATCAACGGTAAGCCCTAGCTGTCATAAAGATTATTAGACTACAAAACTCAAACGCATTCTAAGAAATCTGATTAAAAAGTTGAAAATTTGCATGAAAATTTATTGATTTCGCACAAAGTTTAAAAATTATATTTTTATGTTTTTTTTGTAGTAGGAACCGTATTTTTATAAAAAATTAGCAGAAAAAATAAAAATAAAAATTGTTGCATATGTTGTGGAAAAACCAAAATTCTGTGGCAATATTTTTTTCCGGCGGTGTATTCATACATTGGCTATTTTTGAAAAATTACCTGAAAGGTCGGAATTTGCTAATTTCTCTGATGAAAATGAAATGGAGTAGCTTTTGCAGCAACAAAATTGTAAACAGTTTTTTGTTTCCCCTCTTTATTGAGTTCTCCCCCCAAATGGTAAATAGTTCACTGCTGACAGTATGAGGGATAGTTACATTTTCTCAGAAATCGCAAAAACTCGAAGCATGAGATTGACGTATTAAACTCAAAACTATTAGTATTTATTACACGATTTTGGCATTCTACACACGATCAACATTTTAAACGCGTTTTCAAATTGAATTCTTTAGGAAAAACTTTATTCAAGGTTTAGTCAGAAGTATGCATTTTCGTCCCCAACAAAATTTCAAAAAAATGTCATTATTAGATTTTAAAAGAACTTTCTTTTTAATTTATTTTCTATATTTTTGTTAATTTTTTTTTAGATATACACTAACTTATTTATGGTTGTTCGAACCAAAAAAAAAAACAGAGTAAACAACAGATCCAATATTTCACTTGCAGACTTCGACAACCTCCTAAGCCGTTGTCGTTCGTTATTTAAAAAAACATAAATATATCGTATAAGTCTTCCTTATTAAATACCAAGAAAAAAAATTATTTTAGTAGGTACGCAAAACGAATTTTCGCCATAGATATGCTCATAGTGCTATGGTAAGGCTGCCATATTTGTGTAAGGCAAAACCGGGACAATTTTTTGAAAATATCCTAAACACCCCTACTCCTCCTCCTAGGGCAATTGCGATATGATCCAAAAGTTTTTACATTCCACCATTCCACCATTTACGTTCAACTTTTTGCCATTTTTTTTTGTGTATGTGGAATGGATTTTTGCCATTTTTACCGGGACGTTGGCAGCTCTATGCAATGGTAAAATGCAATTTACAGAATTCATTTTAATTCTTTTACTCCAAAGTCAAAAGCTGCAAAATAAATTCTGGAAAGATTTATTTGCGGGATTCATGTGCTAACACTGGCTGTAAGAATATACATACAAATATTGTTGCTTGGTTTATGTTCCGTGTCGCATACACAGGCCAACAAAAATTAAAAAAATAAAATAAAATTTGGTGCGACAAATGTGAAAACTGCCTTTGATAGACTTTTTTGTGTTTATTACGAAACCGTAAGTATAAAATTTTCATTACTTTATTACTTACAGATTCGTAATCAACATAAAAAAGTATATCAAAAACTAAAAGCTGTTTTTGCCGCACCAAAATCAGTGTTGCCCTGTGTTATCTAAATTTTTAAAAGCTTGGAAGAAGATTGCATACTTTTCCATACGTTGAGACGAAGCCACGCCAAGCAGACACCCA